GTGTCTCTCAAAACATTTTTGAAACAACATGTAAAGTGTAACAGCATAGGAGCTGGGAAGATAGCTTGAGCGGGTAAAACACTTCTCATGAAAGCCTGACAATGTGAGGTCAGAACCAATATAAAAGTCATGAGACTAAATTGAGATATCCAATGTGGACCTCTCCTTGAGCCTGGAACACTGCTGAAGAGGGGAGTAGGGTAGGAGGGTATAGGGGGAGCCAGGGAGGTCTAGGATACCTGAAGAACATGGTCCACAGAAATCAACTAAGCAGGTCCTTATAAGGGCTCACAGAGACAGAAAGTGGCACTTACTGAGCCTGCATGGTTCTGCTCTAGATCCTCTGCAAATATATTACGGATGAGTTGGTGTGTTTCTGGAACTTCTAACAGTGGGATAGAGCTGTCTCTGACTCCCTTTGCTTATTCTGAGACCACTTTTTTCCTACTAGGGTTGCCTTATCCAACCTCTATGAGGGTCTGTGTGCCTAGTTTTATTTCATCTTGTAAATGCCCTGTTCCGTTGATACCCATGGGAGGACTGCTCTTTTTGGAAGGGATTGAGGGGCAATAGAGCTTAGGGAGGGGGGGAAGGTCAGGTGGGGGAGCTATGGTAGGGATATATTGTAATGAGAGATGAATAAATAAAATAAAGAGAAAAAAAGGAGAAATGTCACAACCCTCTGCCCAAAACCAATTATTAAATTCAGTTTCCTCCATCTCTCTCCCTCTCTCCCATCCCCCTCCTTCTCTCTCTCCACCTCATCCCTCTCTCTATCCCTCTCCCTCTCTCCACCCCCCTCTCCCATCCCTCTTCCTCTCTCCACCCCTCCCCATCCCTCTCAGTCTCATTCATGCCCCATTCTCTTTCAAACTTTCTATTCTGCTTCTGTCTCTCATTGTTTTTATTCTTCCTCTTCTTCACTTTCTATATTTCTGTCTACATGCCATGTTCTGTCTACATGCAATTGACCTCTAGGAGGCTTTTTTTCTGAAGGAAACAGGAGAAATATATCTGGGGAGAGGAGAGTAGGGGCAATTGGAAAGAGGAGGGAGGGGACAATGTGGTTGGTAGTGTATTATGTGAGAAAGTAAAATTTAAAAAATCATATTCAATACAATAGGATTCTGACTCTCAATGCCCAGGAGAGGCAGTAGGACAAGGAGACAAGACTCTGTGCAAGTAAAAAGGACATCCAGCCTGTGTGCACAGCTGAGAACAATAAGGAGACCTGATTTCAAACAAGGTGGAAGGCAAGGATAGATACCCAGTTTTTCTCTAACCACTATAGGTGGTATGTCATAGAAGTACCTCTCTCACCACACATAGGCCATGCATGCATGTGAGTGTGTGTGCACACACACACACATAAACTACATACAGAATAAACACAGAGAATACTTGAGGAAATAATATTATGTCCTATTTTTAGTTTCCTAGAATATAAGTTTTATTTGAACCTTATAAATTCTTACCAGGAAATTGTTGCTTAATTCAGAGCAAGGACTACTATAGAGGTTGCGTGTTTGTTTGTTTGTTTTTTTATTTAAATACCCAGGGGATGATTTTCTGCAGTTTATTTACAGAGTCTAGGCCATGTTTTCCATTCCTAGTACAGATAGGAGAATTTTTACATGGAGCTTTGTGCCAAGAAGTGGCCAGAGGAAAATCTACAGCTAGTTAACAGAGATGGTGCCCACATGAGATGTAGCAACTTCACAAGGTGATGGACAACACCTGCTTAGCCCAAAAAAGCATATGCATATATTCAAAGCCAGAAGATCCTTGTAGAGAGAACATTGTGTAACATACTACCAGCACTAATATGCATAAGTATATAATCCACTCAAAGCTTCTTTACCCTGCAACAAGAAGCTTCAATATTAAAATGGCTCAACCATTCTGGGGAATAAATGGAACACACATACCACACCTCATTCAGCTTTCTTTCCATGAATAATTTTTACTTACATATTTTTAATAATCTTCAAATCAAAGCTATTTTAAATGTGAACTCAGAATCAGGGCTCCAGATTATATAGAGGTCCTAAACTGAAAATGAAGAAGCAAATGCTTACAGAATTTTGAATTTCTTCTTTTAAGGACATGGCAAATCACCAGAATCCACTCCTGAATATTGTCATTGTCATTATTGAGATTATTCAGAGAACAGGTAAAAGAGAGCTGCTGTGTGAGCAAATGTCTTACCCCAAACTGTTATATTTTAGTGACACAATATTACCAATTTTATTTGCGAAGAAAAATTCAAGGTGGCAATCATGGAATGCATAACAAATCATAAAAAATGAGCCAGTTGGGCATTTTTCAAGTTATGTCACTAGAGTATATGACATAAAGGCTTCCCAAACATTTGTGCTGATTTTATAATGAATCATAGAATTTGTTTCTTATTTTGATGTCCAAAGAGTTTTAGAAGACTTGAAATCTCCTTTGTTGTATCAAAATTTTTTATTGTATGTAGCGATATATCTGTTATATGCAGAGGAATGTTAAGATATTTTAAGAGCGTAAAGACCTTTCTGCCCTAAGAATGTTAGAGACGCTGAATAAAATTATAAATGAACCACTTAAATATTGATGAATATTTATAAAAGATGATGACCTTGAGTTGGAATAGTAGGGGTAAAATGCCTCTAGCTGCCAAGAACTCAATGCCAGTTTAGGCTAAAGTGCACACTTTATGTTTGATTAAATTTTGTCCTTATATATTAAAATTGTGTCTGAGCTTTTTGTATTTATTGAGTAAAGTGTGTTTATTTGAAACTTACATATTAAATACTAATGCTTGGTAAGGTTTATCCTTGAGGATTTAGAACTGCTAGTTGAATTTGTGTACAGATATTAAAAACTTATTAAATTCATATACAGATCCTATATGGTTATGACGTAGAAACACAAAGGGTGCCAGATATTTTGAAATAGGGTATTGTGATTTCTTGCCCCTAACAGTGCTAGGATGAATTAACTAATTGTATTTGCATTTTTGCCACAAAATCAAAATTCTATGAGGAACTTTGTTATGCAGAGTTTCAAATAGTTTTTTTTCAAAATATTCTCCATACTTCAACAGGCTAGGTAGTACATGAAAGGCTGTTAGGAAGGCAAAGCCTTATAAACCATTTCTAACCTAATTTGATTGTATATTTTAAGGAAACCCCTAAATAATCATACTCAATATAATTTGGAAAATAAAAATTTTTTCCATGTCTATCTTTTGAATATTAGAACAGGTCACAACATCTATAGTCCTATCAAGACTGCACAACATAGAGACAGGGAACCCCCAAAATAGATCAATGTTGGGTCCCAAATGAAGGTAGCCATTTGGGGCAAGTCAGATAATCTCACAGCCTACAAGATATTGCCTTGATGGAATTCCCTCTGTGTCTACAACATAAGCCTCTTACTCCTTAATGTTATTGTTGATCCAGAGTAGAGAGAACCTCAAAGAAGTAAAAGTTCTCAGGTCCTTCCTAGAGAATGTCTCTTTCTCTCCCGGTTTTGGTGAAGGACTCCAACATTAGAGTTCAGTTACTTCCTTTCCATCATTGATATTCCAGGGCAAGGTTTCTATTTCCAGCTGTCTGTCATGAAGCAGGGCATTTTCCTTACCACCACCACAAAGACACCCAGTGGCTGTTCACATACGATAGCAAGATAATCTACCCCACTCAACGATAAGTAGTCCAAAACATCTTTGCCCACTTAAGCAAATTTACATCATATTTGTATACATAGTATACTGCAGCTCACATATTGTTTTTTACTTTCCATTGACTGGACTCATCTCTGAAACACAGAATGTACAAATATGGAGAGCCTTTGAGCCTTAATAATCTTTGAAGTTCTTGATTAATTTACAAGCCATCAAACAATTTTATGCACATTTATTCAAATCTGTGTTCCTTTCCTCAAAGTGTCTGGAATATTATTTGTAATCTCACAAATACTCCCTTGTAAAAGGAGCCTGAGCCCTGTAGATTTCAGGAACTGTGGTAATAGAAGAAAAACAGTTGACTCAACAAAATCCATTTTGGTACAGCTGTGGCGTGACATAAGTTCCAAATGTATTTTGAAATATTGAATACAAGAAGAGGAAACGCTCCCAAATTGTTGACAATTTCTTCTAAATACAAGGTCATGTTAATGCACATGAACTCGGTGTGTTTCTACAAGCTACTGATTTGAGCCAAGCTCTGTTATCTTCAGCACATTTGGGACCTGTTGAACATCATGCAAAGTAACAAAGCATTTATTACTAGCCCCGGGCTCACTCAAAAGACAGGATGATTAAATGATGAGGCTTTCATTTTGTTTCTCCTCTTTTCCTGAGAGACTTTTCTTTCTGACGAATCACCAAACTAATACTGTTAGATTCAAAAGATGAAAGACCACATAGTATAGCTAAAAGAATGAAATTTAACATTACTTTTCTAAATACTGTCTGCAGATGATCTTTGAGCAAAAGGGGAGCAGTTATTTTATTGACTATGATGGGGGTCAGAGCAGCTGTAAAGGAAAAAATACACCATCTTCAAAGCTCTTTCTATGACATTTATTTTCCATAAATTTATATCAATATATGTTTACTTTTTCTAGCTGTCACTATTTATCCTGTAATATATTCTTTGTGAAAACTCTTCCCCTACAGCTAATTGTAAGCATCAATCTTGTGGAATATAAGCTCAGAAAGTACTATCCAAAATAGCCTTGTTATCTTCTGTGTAGCAGTTTAATCATTGTGATCTCATGTGAGCTCATCTCCACTGAGATGTACTTACTGACAAAATGTTCAGTTGCAGTGTGTTTGTTAAAAACTCAAGTTGAATAAATTACTGTAATATTCAGCTCATAAGCCAAGGAATAACAACATGTTCAGATCTTCTTCTTTGTGTATAGAAGGCTTCATAGTTTTCCTATTTGAAAACACACTGTGCTATTGTGAATGTTTAAATGTCATCATAAAGTGCAGTCATTGTTGCCTGGACAATAGTATACCTTTTGAGAAAAAGTTTTGTTTTGTTTAAGTCATAAATCCAATGCCATTCCTGAATTACAGCATAAACCAGTAGAGCAACAAAGAGCAATCACATCTCCTCATCACAAACTAAGTGCAGACTTCTCAAAGCTAAATGAAATAATTAACCTCTTACTATAAAAGAAAGGCCAATAAAACATACACATAAAGGTGTGCTATAAAACTAATCAAGAAGTTCAAATGCCATAATTGTTTAAGTTGCACATTTCTCAAAGCAAACTGCAGTACCATGTTTCTGAATGTTAATCTCATCCATCTTCATTTAACTTCTTGAGCCAAGACCAGTGTTATTCATTGATATACACATTTTCACTTCTGTTCACTTGCAGAGAAGCCTGTTTCCAGAAAGCTTAAAAAAACAATGTCATTTATAGTGAATTGGTATAAAATTTTCACTTCGAGTCTCTGTAGGGAAGCCTGGGTTATTGAAGGATTTCTGTTGAGAAACAATTACCCATCCATTTACTGAACATTGTTTATTTTTATGTTGTGCAAAATGCCCTGTGAGCCTTTTAGAACTTACTAGAAGAACCAATTTAGGAAGAAAATATCCAATTAACTTAAATTTTTATGATACACACAGAGTTTACATTCTGTGAGAGTCAATGTATTTGTTTTGTGGATCCTTGTATGGTTCCTAAAATCTTAGGCTTGCCTCTGAAATTCTCCTTCATTTCACCAAGGCCGTGCAGATAGCTTTGCTCAAATATTGTACTGCATATAACACACTGTAGGATTTCTTTGTTTATTTTGTTTCATCCCTATTTTTTTTCATGGTTTTGGGACCCAAACAACAGCTGCAATACAAACTAGGCACACATGAAGGATTTCTTGATATCTGAGTATTCTGTACATTGGTATTAAAATGTGAAAATCCATGGGATGAGACAATAGGTAGAACTAATTATCTTCCAATCCTGGTTCCAAACCCAGAATCTCTAAACTTTAGCTCAGTGTTTATTGAATTAATGAGACATTTTTGCTCTGTTTTAACTAATTTCCAAAGTGGTAGGTTGTAGGTTCCAGTTATATTTACACACACACACACACACACACACACACACACACACACATTATTTTACATATGGATCCCAGTTAAGCCTCTCCTTCTAGCTCCATCCTAGGAGCATCTTCATTTGAATGCCTTCATGAGCTTTAGATTCCCTTGCCTTTATATGTTAGATATAGTTAGTAAATCTTCACTTTCGTTTTTAGTGGCAACAATAATTACAACAGCTGTAGCAATGTTCTGGCCCCAGTTTTTGTTTGTTTGTTGGGTTGGTTGGTTGTTTTCTGAAAGGATTAGTAATCAAAATAATGTGGGACAGTTCCCTTGATTTTGTTCTCTTCCTTTCTGAGCCTTTTCTCGTAAGAATTCTCACTCTCTCTTTAGTTCTCAGTCCTCCCCCTTCCCTCATCCCCATTTCTGTTTATTTCTGCCCCAGTAGTATAGTTTTCCTTTTTTACTTCAGTGAAGTAATTTCTATTATTTATCCTATTGTCTTAGTTAGGGTTTCAATTGCTGTGAATAGACACTATGATCACAGCAACTGTTATAAAGGAAAACATTTAATTGTGCTGGTTTACAGTTCAGAGGTTGAGTCCATTATTATCGTGGTGGGACATAGTGGCATGCAGGCATGTTGCTGGAGAAGTAGTTGAGTGTTCTACAAGTTGCCCAGGAAATAGGAAGTGAACTAAGACACCGGACAGTGTCTTGAACATATATGAGACCGCAAAGTCCACCTCCACATTGACATAATTCCTTCTACAAGGCCACACCTACTCTAGCAGAACCACACCTCCCAACAGAGGCGTCGCCTTCAAATTTTTTTCAAACCAATACACCTATCTTCTGTTGTGTCTTTATGAACAGTTAGAGTCCCACAGAAGGCCCATCATTGACTTACACAATCAGCAAGTTTGTTTATATTCCACTATGTTGGGGCTGTCCATTTTACATAAAGGCAAAATGGTGACAACCCCAACAGGAGCTCGCAGGCTCCTTTCAACCAAGGCCAGGGGATGTCCTAAGGCAGTTAGGTAATTTTATCTAGATTTGGCTTAAGCCAGTAGCAACATATTAGTACATTCTAATTGGCTAGGGCTGGTCAGGGCTATAGTTTTTTATTTTGGGTAGGCCTGGACAAGTTCTTGGCTTTATCCTTATTTGGTTATTACATTGAGCTTATTAATTGTGGAGGTTGGCTCTCCCTAGTACATAATGACTAAGGGGGCTGTCTCAGGCCTGGCTCTGCATATACCAGGTCTCCTTGTCCTTACTGTTGGAAGTGTTTGGGATTGATTTTCTTTTCATGGCTCTTCCTCAGATACTGCTTGCTTGGCTCCAAAAAGGAGGGACCAAGGTTCACTTCTAACTGAGTTATTAGGGCAGGCTCTCATGATATTTACCTGTCCCTCTCAGATACATATATAAAAATGTGAAACAATATCATACACATATATTTGTGCATGCCTACATATGTAAATATATATGAGTGTTTATATGTGTGTAAAAGACACTGTTGGCACTCACATAAGCATGCTTTGCATCCTTGGATTCTACCACCTCCAAGTCAGCAACTCCAGTCCAGAGTTTCTGATACCCTCTTCTACCTGATTTGAAAAAGAAACTCAGCTGCTTTATAAAATTTACTGTGTGTAAATTCCATGCTGTGTATTCAATTTGACCAAAGGTACTCTCCATTTTCTTATCCCCTTCTTCCTAATTTTCCTAGAACCTCCATTACATCTCCTTTCAATATCATGTAGTTTTAAAGTTTCTTATGCATTGTATGTTTTGCATGTGAGTGTATTGTCTGGATGTATGTATGTATGTATACCATGTTCATGCCCCATGTCCTTGGAGAGACCAAGAGAGTATCTAAAAAGAATGGAATGTGGGTATCATTGTGAGCCACAACTATTCGGATGCTGGCAACCAAATCTAGGTCCTTTGCAAGAGTGACAAGTGTTCATAACCACCAAGCAATCTTTCCAGCCTGCTGATCATTTGTTTTTAGCACAGTATTTCTAATTAGTACTGCCATATGGACACGTAACATGACATCATCCACTGGAGTTGGGAGACCCTCTCCGTGGCCACACTCCTGAGGAAAAGTGACTGTCCCTCCTCTATCAATCAACCATCAACTGTCAGTAACTCCTTGGCTAGGGTTGGGCCTTAGGTGTCTTTCCTTCTCTAGCTAGAATTTTTAACCAAATTTTGTTTTGGGCCTTAGGTGTCTTTTCCTTCTCTAGCTAGAATTTTTAACTAAATTTTGTGCAGGTAACCACAGTGACTGTGAGTTCATGTGTGCAACAGCCCTGTCATGTCCAGAAGACAGCATTTACCACATTCCCCCAATCATCTAGCCCTTATATTCTGTATTTCTCTTCTTTCATGTTTTCTGAGTCTAAGGTCTGGGTGGGGTTGATGGGATTGAAAATAGATGCTTCATCTGTAGCAGAACATTCACGGTTGCTTCCTCTCAGTAGTTTGAACAGCAACAAATCTCTGTGCATTGATGACCACAATAAGAAGCATCTCTGACCAAAGCTCTACTGGATATGTGACAACTTCATTTTCTCTTTACTCCTGTCTTAGTTACATTGTTTTAATTATAAGAAGTCTAAGAATAAATAACTATAGTGATTATATAGGTTTTACACCTTCATATATAAGAATCTTGATATCCTCTGGAGATGGCCTACAATTAATCCCCACTAGATAGCAATCAGTGACATTATTTGTGTATGTGTACATAATGACATGACATATGTATATGTAAAATGTGCATATAAAGTGTATAAAGTATTTAAAGATCTGGTTTAGAATTTCCACTTTAACATAATGCCTCAACATCTCCCCCTGCATGTTCTACTGAATAGGGATATAGACATTTATTGACTGATTTGCATATGGTACAATGCTGACAGTGGGATGCAAACCCTGAAAAAGCTCATCTTTTACTTGCGCAGATTCAACACATTTGGTTAAAGATATGAACCATGAAAGATAAGAAACATTAAAGTGTGAAATGCAAGGTGTGGTAATGCTTTTAGGAATTCAGAAAAAAGAGAATTGTAATTACGAGCAGGCATGTTGTTCAATAAAGATATAGCGATCAGGTAAATGAGATGTTATGCTGTCGCATTCCTCCTTCCCAGTGCAAATAAACTATTGCTCTTAGAAATGATACCTAAAGCAATTGCCCCCTTTATATTATCCCTTTCTCTCCTTCAAAATGCTTCCCTGAAACCTGTACGTCACACATTTCCTGAGCATTTCATTGTCTTTGTCTTTCAAAATTAATATTACTAATGGAATACCAGATTATTGTCTTGTTCACACTGTCATCCCAGCACATTACATGTAAGACAGTCATTTCAATTTCATTAATGAGACAGTCATATGCTACATCTTTAAGAATACTAGGACCGATGAGAATACACAAGACCCATGAGTTAAAACCCATGGAGTTACCAAAATTCTTTTCAGTAGCTCCATGACCATGCACACATACATACTTTCTTTTCTTGTTTAACTCTGTCATGTGTGTGTGTATGTGCATTTGTGTGTGTGTGTGTGTGTGTGTGTGTGTGTGCGCGCGCGCACACGTGTGTGTGACTTCTTTTCATTTCCTCAATTCACAAAAATTATGTACTTTGTAGACTATACCAAATTACTGTTTTAAGCAATGAATTATGAAAGAAACATACCACTTATATTCTAAGGATGACTATTGCAAATTTACTGTTTTGCTTTCTGTTTACTTTAGGATTTCCTTTTAAATGATGGGGGCCTCAAAATTCTGAATGTGACTAAGGCTGATGCTGAACCTACACCTGCATAGCAGAAAACCAGTTTGGGAAAGCAAATGGCACAACACACTTGGCTGTGACAGGTGAGTGCTTTTCTAGAGTTTTTTTCTTTTTTTTTTTTATGGAAAGGTAAACTGAATTTTGCAGGAGGAAAAATATAAATATCTATGGATGTACTGGCAGCACGAGGTAGACTCAGTGGGTTTAAAGAGTATACATAAAAATTGAGGGAGAAAAGGGGTGGAGGGGGTATAGGAGGAGTTTGATGAGAGGGGGGTGTGGAATGGATTTGATCAAAATATTTTGTATTAATGTCAGTCTTCTCAAAAAATATTTAGTTAAAATTGAAGACATTGATCACATGTTTCTCAACCTACATAATACACTGTGCAGTCAGAACCTTTGTTTGTTCAAGTGAAAAGGTATGATACCTAAACTTATTTGTCATAGCCAAGGACACAATAATGAACATAACAGCTACTTTGCTGGTTTCTGGGCCAAGAACATTGTGTTCTTGAGTACTCCTGTTTCATTATAATTTGTCTTTTCTAGATAAGTTCAAGTTCATTAAAAAATGTTTGATGTTAATTACATTCTCTTAATGTTCAGGATATTTATTCGTTCTTTTATCCTTTCAATTAAATGCTGAGCATTTTGTGAGGTGGGAGCTTGGGATATGTCAATGGGAATATAGGCAAAGATACTTCCTTATGAACCTTACATTCTACCACAGGAAGGAACATAGAGTAATAAAGAAAACAGATTGTTAAAAAGGAAAATGCAAACAACTGAGAAAGTAAATATGAGTGTGGGAAAATGGGGTTACTTGGAGGCAAAACAGGATAACTCCAGTTGGCTAGGATGACACAAGAGGAACAGATTTCAGGGAAATGAAGTGTTAGCAGATTTCTAGGGGCAGTTATATAGACATGTTATGGACTTGTTAAGACTGCTGTTTTCAATCCGTTTTGAAAAAGAGAAGCCAGTGAGTGTTTTCAGCAGAGAAATATTATCATAGAAGTTTGCTTTTCAAAGAACTGCTCTGTTGTGATGGTAGTGAAAAGATCCAGACAAGAAACCCAAAAAGATCAGTAGACATTACCAAAAAGGGTGCAGGGGTGAAAATTACCAATAGTAACCAAAGAGATGGTTCTGCAGGCAACTAGGAGCTCCACAAATTTAGCATAAATTCAGCAGGAAGTGCTATTCAATCAGGTGGGAAGTTCATGAAGATAAAGGAATCCAGAATGACTTCAAGATGAAGACTAAGGGCAAAGCTCACTGATAAAATGCTTCCTGTGAGAGTTAAAGGTGTAAATGACCAAAGTTTTACCACTGGATATTACAGCACAGATTTTCCTGGAGACCCTGATGGGACTAGAGCAGATGAGGGACTAAAAGCTGTACTAGACTGGCTTGAAGGGCTAATTTCCTAAGTTAATTTACACTCTCTGTACATACAGTTCTTTGATGAGTCTTGTTGTCTCAGGGTAAAATGCTATGAAACAGTGGGAAGGTAGAGTCAAGAGCAGTTGAGTTCATTATTAGGGGAATGTACCTGATTGTAACAGGGGAACATGTGTAGGTGGGCATTAGCACTGTAAGCCAGGGGCTTGGCATATTGAGCCTCTCATGACTTATTTTCCAAATATGTAAACAAGGATATTTTGAACTTATTTACATTTTAGTTTGAATACATTTGCTACTTGTTGAAGATTTGTGAGAATGGGGTAATTCCTATTTCTACCCTCGTATTTCACAAAATTATGAAACTGAGGTTTTTGTCATTAATATAGCTTGTTTGCAGGTGAGCACTCTGCACATGTATCTTTTACAAAATCATATACTTAATTCTCATAAGAAAAATTTGTGAGACCAGTAAAATATAGCATAACTTTATAACAAGATGCCACTTTAATCTTGAAGACTTTTAATCACATAGATGTGTATGTACTCTCATGTTATGCAAATATATACATTCTAAATCAGATGAACAATGTGCCTATAAAATTACTTTCATTCCCATTGAAATTTTCTTTATTTACATATTGCTTACCCAACAGAACCAACCAGAATAATTTTGGCCCCTTCTAACATGGATGTTGCTGTTGGTGAGAGCGTCATTTTACCCTGCCAGGTGCAACATGACCCCCCTGTTGGATATTATGTTTGCCTGGTATTTCAATGGAGCCCTTACAGACTTTAAGAAAGATGGATCCCACTTTGAGAAAGTTGGTGGAGTAAGTTATGTTACTGTTCTAATATTCTTTTTATTATATGGGTCTATGACAAGTTTCCTCTCAAAAATATCTGGTATGCAGGCAACACATAGAAATACTTGTCAAGTTGGTGAATTTTATATTTTGTTTCTGGATTCTTTTAGTCCAGTCTAATTTTATTTTGTTAATAATTAGATATTAAGAACATTTCCTTTAACCTATAACTATAATTAAAAATGGTTCATTTTCCATTTATATTTAATGTTGTTCTTCATAAAATTTTTGTTGTGGGTATTCTATCCAAGTATTTCATTTTCAAATACCCAATTTGTGATGAAATAGAAGGTAACTGTGTTACTACAATCGTCTAGATTCACCAGGAGATGCTTAATCAAAACAATCTTTAGAGTTTCATTGGGCATTAGCTATAAGACTCTTCAGTTCACAGTTATACAAACTCAGGATTTGAAAAGTGTAATAATTTCTCTGTCTGAGTCATGGAGAGAATGAGTACTAGAGTTTCAAGACCTTAGCTTGTCTGTTTGTCTCTATAATGCAAATACTCCCAGATGTCTTCTTCCTTTCTGTCTCAATTGTGGTAGGTCTAAGTAATAAAAAGTATATATATCAATGAAGTTAATAGCTGAAAAATAACTAAGAAATAAGTTCATACTGAATCAAAAGGCTAACCAAAGTCTTCATAGCTGGGTCGATATTTGTGAGCTTAGTTGAGCAATGCCAGCCTTGTTGACGATTTGTGGGGCACTCTGGCCCTGGAGAGGATCACTCTATTTGGAAAGATGTCAAGTCTGAGCCTTGTGTCTGTAAACTCACTGTGTAGGCTTCCATAAAGCAGACAATCACACAATGGCCAACTCAGTGATATTTCTTTGACCAAGGTTTCTCGAAGTATATACATATATACACATAGCCATATTATATTTCAGAGTCCTATGCTATGTCTTATGATTCTCCTTGTGATTATACTCTGCCTTCCTAAACGATATGTCCAAAACTCAGAGCCCCGTACTTTAGAAACTAGGAATGTTGCAGAAATACTCATTCGGTTAACATGAGGTCACTCTGGAGATGAGTTTCATTGAATATAAATGTTGATCTTATGAAAACAATGCAGCTTGCATAGGGATACCCAAAGAAGAGAACACTATGGAAAGACAGACAAGGAGGAGTAATATGCAACAGTGGGAATAGTGATTACCCCACAAAGCAATGGATACCTGGGATCCCAAGGAGCTGGAGAAAGTTAGAAGACACCCACCCCTAAGGATTCCAAGAGAACATGGCCCTATTTGCAGTCTTATTGAAGACTTGCAGCCCACAGAATTGGAAGAGAAAAATACATCTGTTAGTTTAAGCCATTGTTGATGTTTTTTGTTGTTGTTGCTGTCGTTGTTACAACAACCCAAGAAACTAAAACATATAAAAGAAAAATATTTAAATGAGGTGTTAGATAACAAGTCACAAGTAGGAATAAATTGAATACCACTTCTGTTTTCCATCATCTGGCTTTCTTTAGTTTGAGGAGAACTAGTTTTCTAATTGTTCTCCCTGTTTCAAGGCTTTGAAAATATTTTCAATTGTTACAAATCCTCAGGATTCTTTTTCTCATTCCTTTGAATGCCCACTTGAAAATTGTCACTCATTTCTTCCATAAGAACAGGAAAAATTTATGTCAACATTCTCAAATTAGCACTCTACTCTATCTGAGTCCCTTGAGGTACTGCCTAAAGTTGTGAAGAATCTTGAAAAAAATACATTCCTCCAGTTACCTTTATGGATGTCCCAATATCTATCTTGAAAAAAAAATTTCTAGCAAGTTGTCCTGTTTTAAATTGATAAATGAAGACTTCAATTTGAAGTATTAGTTACTTCTTTTATGTCATAACGTTGTAATTTGTCATCTTGATCATGATCTGTTGCAATATTTTATACAATACAAGACCCCCTGTGTTAGTTAATGCTAAATAAATTTACATTGAAACATTCCAAAACCAAAGCAGTTTGATGGTAATATGCACAAATGCTTAAAAGCTCAACTGGATAGCTACTAATTGTGTAGGATGAGTTAAACACATTCAAATTGATAGTGTAACTTAACTCTCCCGATTGGCACAGCATGACTGGTTTGTACACAGGACATAAAGTTATCTTTGTGAAGAGTTAAGTGTCTAAAATGTGGATATTATAAACTAATGCAATCACTTGTCACTTTTGTTCCTTACACAACATGAAAGTTCATGACCTATGATTTTTTTTTTATTGACTCGCACTATTAGAAACTTAATATTCTCTCATAAGTATAAAACAGTAAGCCATGCAAAATGGCTTTCCCTTAAAGCACAAACAATTAAGTAAATCAGTTTTCTGTTGCATGGAAAAGAAATTACATAACAATCCTTGTCTCCTGATTTTGTATTCAGTGCAGATTACACAATATTACCTAGAATGTATGTTCTCTCTCTTTCTCAATTGCTGTCCTCTCTGTCTCCCCTCCCTGACCCCCCCCTCTCTGGTATATTCATAGATACATTCTTTTTTCACCACAGCAAAATGTGGACAAAGAAGAGGTGAGTGGTATGGTAGCATTACGGAAGGTTTATTATCTAAGAGTCATGTTGCTAATGGAGGGAATAGTTTACATTACAGAAAATTGACTCATATCTTTGAACCAATAGATTCAGCTAACTGCTTTTGGGACTACATTAGGTATCTGAAAAGAAAAAATAAATCCCAGGTATTGTCATAATGTCAAAAGTCTCCATAACTCTTCTGTAGATTAGAATACTAAACCAAAGGATTTTAGAATAGCAGTCACAGCTTTCGCAATGTCAGAATGAAGCATTCTGAATTTATTTAACTTAATATCAGAAACAAATAGCAACAAAATAAAAGGCTGATCCAAATATATTGCTTCAATCTGTGCCAATAACACAAATGGAAGTTGCATCATTCAATGATCATCAGTAAGTGCTTAAGTCCAGTATCCTGAGCAAATAAATCTTCACAGGCAATGTAGGATATGAATGGGATTTGTGTTTATTACACGAGTCCTGAGGAATTTGCATTTATTCTGTGATATTCATGAGTAAGTGAGTCACTTAGTTTCCATTCCTTTGTTCTGATCTCTTCACATCAGATTTTAGTGTTTGTCGTGTCTTCTCCTTCCATGAGATCTGGAAGACATTGGTTTCTCTGTGAGTTTTTTTTTCCCCTTGTCATAATAAGATAGCTTCCTATACTATTGTGTAAATGCAGATAATGTGTGTGACTACACATGGCCATTTGAGAAACGTGTATGGGGGAGTGTATGTGTGGTAACATTCTATCAACCTCATATGTCCTTAGCTGATAAAGATGTCGGCCCACATAGCTAGGATGCATCTCTCCATATATTGAAGGAAATTCTGACAGTTCTTCAGCTGAGGCTCCTGGCTGGTGTGATTTGAATTTGAGGATGTTGACAATAAAAGCAAGCAATCCAGCAGGCTTGTGCTAACTCAACTGATAGATAACAAGCTTATGGGAGAAAATAGAGGGATTAACACTAATATCCTGAAAACTGCTGTGAAAATATCAGTTGAGAACAAGTAAGAAAGAGATATATTTAATATCAGTATCTGTGGGTAAATTCTGGCTGGCAGTATTGGCTTCATCGCCTCCTCCTTCTTAAAAAGAGCAACATGTTCTCTTTTCTTCAATTAAAATGTAAGACTTTAGTTTTATGGACTTGCAACATGCACTTATTTCTTCATACTTTATATAATTTTTGCTGATTCATAAGGAATGCCTTCACCTCTATGTCAATTTTCCATCAACTTTGTATTTTATGTCATTCATGAAAAGAATTCTCATTTACATTTAATCAAGCATGCTTAACTTTTATAGATGCAGACTTTTCTCTGTCTAGCCTGGTCCTACTTGACCCGCCTGGTCCCTGAAGCCACTTAGAAGATAACCATTCAGACTTAATATATATTCATAATTGTTTTGCCAATGGCTTTATACCTCTCTTCCTTAAAATATTACCCATTTCTACTAATCAGTGTATCACTATGTGCCTATGGCTTACTGGTGATATCCTGTCATCTTACTGCCACAGTGTGTTGTATATGGCATCTTTTTTACTCTGCCTTTGTCTCTCCCTCCCTCCTCTTTTCTGCCCCCACTCCAATTTCCCACCTGCCTTTACTCTGTGTGGCCATTGGCCAAAGCAGCTTTACTCATCAACCAATAAAAACAACACTTATTCACAGTATACAGAAGGACATCCCACCGCAAACTTTTCTGAACTAAGATTTTTCATAACCTTTCTAGGGTTGAGGGGATTTAGAGAAAATATTTTAGGACTAATGTTTAGAGAGTTACAAATGAAAATTATGAGATGCTAGAAATTATATGCTTTGTGGAGAGACTTTGTAGGAAATCAGATACTTAAGGGAATTTTCTGAGTCATTTAACACTGGATTTCATCATATTTCCCCATAGAAAAAATCACATCACATCACTGAGCAGTTCTTAGGGCTTGGCTTGATAGGAATATTTGTTATTGATTATAGGTCATACTGGTAGTTTTGATATTGGACTCACTCTCAGCTTTAGTAAATTGGAAAACATATTCATTGTGGAGAAGGTATTTTTGTGTATCTTTACATATGATATACCAGCCTATTAAGATCTAGATGCAGTAATGCAAAAATATCTTGTTTTATAAGAACTGAGTCATTAATAATTCATTTTCTATTGCTTACAGCTTTCTGATCCCATTTATAAAGTTCAACCCCAGGAATATGTGGCTTGCCAAATACAAAACTAAATATCACCTTTGATGTAGAAACCAATGTTCCTGCAAGAGCTAGATATACTTTTCAATATTGTTTTGTTTCCTTGTTTTTTGTGGGGTTGTTTGTTTGTTTGTTTGTTGAGCACAGAAGAATCAGAAAAGTTTAGGAGATAATCCTACAGTAGGAGTGCAATATCTAATATAAGGCTACTTCTAATAA